GTGCAGCCAAGAGGTTCTTCTGCTAGCTTTCTGTGGAACTTTCATGTGGGTGCTGTCAGCTGGCAACTCAGCTGGGTGGCCTCACCCTTGGCTGGCAGTGGGTATTAGCTGGGGACTACAGAAATCCAGCCCAGACTTGTCCACATGGTGGCAGCATCTAAGGGCAGGAAAGCAGAAGCTGTAAGGAGGTCTCCGGAAGTCTAATCTCCTAAATCACACACTGCCAATTCCGGCATGTGTTATTGGTCAAATCAAGTCAGCTTCCAGAATCAGGAAACTAGTTCCCTCCACTCCCTGGGAGCAACTGCAAAGGATGTGCCATGTTTAATCTATTACAGTACCCAAGTTTCCTAAGCTTTAATCCAACAAAGTACTACCAATTTAGTGGCTTGAAACAAGGCAAATTTATTACCTTACAATTCTGGAAGTCAGAAGTCCTAAAATTAAGGTGTAAGCAGCGATTCCTTCCTTCTGGAAACTCTAGAAGAAAATTTGTTTCCCTGCCTTTCCCAGCTTCTAGAGGCCACCTTCATTCTTTAACTCATGGTCCTCCTCCATCTTCAAGACCAACAACAGCATCTTCAAATCTCTCTCTCTGACTCTGCTTTCACAGTCACATTTTCGTCTCTGACCCTCCTGCTTTCCCCTTCCATTTTTTTTTTTTTTTTTTTTCAGATGGAGTCTCAATCTGTCACCCAAGCTGGAGAGCAGTGGCATGATCTCTGCTCACTGCAACCTCTGCCTTCTGGGTTCAAGTGATTCTCCTGCCTCAGCCTCCTGAGTAGCTTTGACTACAGGCACACAACCACCACGCCAAGCTAACTTGTATTTTCAGTAGAGGCAGGGTTTCACCATGTTGGCCAGGGTGGTCTCGAACTCCTGACCTCAGGTGATCCGCCCACTTTGGCCTCCCAAAGTGCTGGGATTACAAGTGTAAGTCATCGCACCTGGCCTCCCCTTCCATTTTAAAAGGACCCCTGTGATTACAGTGGGCCCACTCAGATAATCTAGGAAAATCTTCCCATCTCAAGAGCCTTAACTTAATCACATTTGTTAAGTTCCTTTTTTCAAGTAAAGTGACATGTTTACAGATTCTTAGCTAAGATGCAGCTCACGCCTGTAATCCCAGCACTTTGGGAGGCCGAGGTGGGCGGATCATGAGGTCAAGAGATCGAGACCATCCTGGCCAACATGGTGAAACCCCGTCTCTACTAAAAAAAATACAAAAATTAGCTGGGCATGGCAGCGTGTGCCTGTAGTCCCAGCTACTTGGGAGGCTGAGGCAGGAGAATTGCTTGAACCTGGGAGGCGGAGGTTGCAGTGAGCCGAGATCGCGCCACTGCACTCCAGCCTGGTGCCCGGCAACGAAATGAGACTCTGTCTCAAAAAAAAAAAAAAAAAAAAAAAAGATGCAGACATCTTTGGGAAACTATTATTCTGCTTACCACCTTCAGAATCTCAAATCAAGGGAAACTATGTCACAGAATTCAAAGGGTCCAGTGGTCTAGCCTGGGCTAGCCTGCCAGGCTCAGGGAATACAGGTAGAATACAGGCAGTCAAGAGGCTGGGTTTTCAAACAGACCAGGGCTTGAATTTCAGTTCATTATTTACTGGCTGGGTAACCTTGGGCAAGTTACTAATCTCTGAGACTGTTTTCTGAAGTGTAGGATGGAGATAATACCTATCTTACGGGACTACTGTGAGTTTTAAATGAGCAAATATATTAAAGTGCTTCAGATGGTGCTTGGAACATAATAAAATCAAATGATGATTAGAAAGAGTTCTGGTTTGGTTTGAAGATTTCAGAAATGAGCCGGGCACAGTGGCTTACACCTGTAATCCCAGCACTTTGGGAGGCCGAGGCCGGTGGATCACCTGAGGTCAGGAGTTCAAGACCGGCCTGGCCAACATGGAGAAACCCCATCTCTACTAGAAATACAACATAAGCCAGGCATAGTGGCACATGCCTGTGATCCCAACTATTTGAAAGGCTGAGGCAAGAGAATCGCTTGAACCCAGGAGGCAGAGGTTGCGGTGAGCCAAGATCGCACTATTGCATTCCAGCCTGGGCAACAAAAGCAAAACTTCGTCTCAAAAAAAAAAAAAAAAAAAAAAAAAGATTTTAGAAATGAAGCTTCATAGGACTCCCCAGGGCTGTAAGTGGAACTGGTCACGCTGACTTAGGAGGAGCAAGCAGAACAAGATGGCAAAAAGTTTTGGAAAATAAAATATGTGAGGGGTTTGGGATAATAAGGACAACCTTCCGGGTTTAGGAGTCACAGAACTAGGCTTGTATAGTAGTGGGAAGAGGCAGTCCTGTAATACAGTACTTCGGGCATGGCTTTTGTTTGCTTTGTTAATAAGGGGAATATTTCAGATCTTGGTGGAGAAGGGAGGGCATAAGAGTAGGAGATGTCTGAAGTGCAGAAGAGAGACAGTTTTCTGAGGCTCCAGAAAAATAAGCCATGGCTTTAGTGTTCCAGTGAGCTAGGTTTCAGTGTTTCTGAAAAAGATAGCAAGTTTATGTTTCAGGAGCACAGGTGAATTTGAGGTTAATATAGCTTGGGAGAAAGAGTAAGTTTCACTGGTTCTCTCCAGATGATTTTTAAAATTTTTTTCCAGTTTCATGATGTACATGTCACAGTACACATTATGGCACATTTTGCTTTATAGAAATGTATACCAATGAAACTTGTTCAAACTTAGCATGACCTACCAACAGCTATTTTATCATAAAATTCCAGGTAAATGTGGCCACAGGGATGTTTTATTAATCTGTGCATTTGAAACTGTGATCACATTGTGAATGTCGCAGTGGGTTTTTAAGATCCTGGAATAGTTGAATCTTTTTTGTCGTTATTTCCTCACTTTGTCAATATATCGGAACTGGCAGATATCTTACTTTTCAGATTTCTTAGAATTGGCTTGAAAGGACAGACAGGCATCTTATATGACTTTTGGCTAATTCATGGTGGGTAAATCTGACTTTAACTGCATGGAGAACGATAATGGTGACTTTAAACTACTCCTGAATGAGGCTTTGGAGGGAAAGAAAGGGCATGAATCATGTGGAAGCTGCTCGGGAGCTGGAGGAGACAGGGCAGTGCTCATCAGGGTTGTGGAGGCTCCTGCCAGATCCCTCATGGGACATTAACCCTACCACACAGGGGCTCTTTGAAGAAACATTGGGTCACTAAGGTCAGAGATTTATGAAGCTCCAGCACCCTCAGAGAGTCCTCTTTCCCTTGACCATGGGAACAATAGGCTAAAGATAATGGAGGCCTCTGTATTTCCCACCTTAGGAACAAGAAGGGGAGCAGGAATGCTTCCACTTGGCTCTGGAAGATGTGTCTTAAACATACACTGCAGATGCAATCCTCTCATAAGCAGTGATTCAGAATGATGTAAGAAATCATGTGGGGGCAAGTCTCATCTAACTGTTTAGGGAGGGCAGTAAAGTGGTCTGAGGTGTCCACATAAGTACTGAGAATGGGGATTATTTAGTAGAATTTTGCAATCTTAGAGCTGGAAAAGACTTCAACAGCAACCTCCTCCAATCTCTGTGTTGCCATGGAACTCTTTCTTCAAACAAAAGCTTCATATGAGCACAAATACACACCCCTACGAAAGCAGAATTGCTCTGGTTGCAGAGTGGGGGGAGGGGGAAACAAAAAATTATTTATAAAATTAGAAAACTTTAAAAAATCATCATGGAAGAAAACTTTTATATTTATATGTATATCATAGGGAGGCTAAAGTTAACATTGACCACAAAAAATAAAACTTCCCAAAACAACAGATTCTTCATTTATAGCGTGAAGAGGCTTTGATTCTTTACGGACATTTTTACTTGGAGTCCTGAGAACAGAGATATGACTTTCGGTCACACGGAAATGAGCCTTGGATGGGAATTTTTAAGATTTACGGGAACTGTGCCATACTGATTTGGGACAATGAGCGTCCTAGTCCCAGCAGGTGGCGCCCGTGTTCGGCATTTTGAGAACGTCTGCTGTCTTCTGGACTCCAGAATCTGGACGGTCCGACCGCCTCGTGCTTGGTGGGTTTACTAGCTCGGACTGGTTCTTACTACCCATCGTCTAGGAAATTTTTAAAAACAAACCAACCAACCTATAAAACATTTGACTGGATGCCACAGGAAAACACTTGTGTTCGGGTGTTTTAACCTCCAACGATGGAACTCTGCTTAACATTGGTGTTTCTGAGGTGTCTTAGCATCAGAAAAGGAAAGACACATACACAGATTCTAAGGGAAAAGACAGGAAGGGCCTCCCAGGGGTCCAGGTGTGGCTGCAGGGCGGTGAGGCGTTAGAAGCTTCTAGTCCAGGTTTTGCCACTTCACGGTCATGTTTCCTACCTGCCAACAGTCGGTGGCTGACTGTTGTAGGGGAATCAGACACAGCCCAGCCTCTATCCTGGATCCCAATTAAGTCTAAGAGACGAAAGTCGCCTGGTACGGTTACTGAGATCAAATGCTCATAAACCGAGGCAGTGTCAATAAACGGGTTTATTATGATCGCTTTCTCATGTAACTCACCAATCCCCGGAGGGCCGTCCCGCGGTGGGAAAGCCTAAAACAATACACAGGTTTTCATTCATTTAAAATTCCTCTTGAAGCCGGAGGTTTTAGAACTTCCAGGACGCCACGTGCTACTTAAGGGACCGCGGACCGCAAGGGGCGGGCAGCCCTTCTGAGACAGAAATCACGAGTTGTTACTTTCACCCCTACTCCGCCGGACCCCCGTTTCGGTCCGCAGCTCCCGCCTGGGAATCCGAGCCGCCTAGGCCGCGGGCTCCCGGCCCCCCGCCTCCAGCGCCAGGCACCGCGCGGGCTCCGAGCGCCCCGCCCCCTACACCGGCCACGGGCCCCGCCCCCGTGCGTCAGCGCGTAGCCGCGCCGAGGCGTTTCTCGGGGGCGTGCCGCAGTTGCTAGGCGACCAGGCCGCGCCCCCTCCCGCCCCTGCAGCTGCGTCTCCCAGCTCCCCAGCCCCGGCCAGTCGGGATCGAAGGCGCGCGGAGCTGCAGTGTCTGGCCGAGAGTCCCCGTGGGACCGTCGCGCCGCTGAGGCAGCCGTCCCGGCGTAGGTGGCGTGGCCGGCCGGACCCTCCAACTGGCGCCCCTCTCCGCGCGGGGTCCCGAACTAGCAGATGGGAGGCACAGCTCGCGGGCCTGGGCGGAAGGATGCGGGGCCGCCTGGGGCCGGGCTCCCGCCCCAGCAGCGGAGGTAACGGCGCCGCGGGGTAACGGGCTGGGGGCGCCACAGAGAGCGGCTGGCGCTGGCTGGCGAAGCTTGGGGGCGGAGAGGAGGTAGAGTGAGCCCTTAGCAGGAGGGACGAGGGCAGGGGTCTGACTACCTCCCCAGGACCACCCCCAACTCGTCTCCATCAGGGCCTCCTCCCACCACCTCCGACTCACCGGGTGCGGGGGAGGGGGCTAGAGCAGAGTCAGAGCAAGAAGAATTTCCACCCCTGGATTACCTCTGAAACCCTAGATCGCGGATTATGCTAAGAAGCTCCGAAAATCTAGGACTTTTTGTGGGGCTTTTTAGCAAACCAGTAGAGCCCGGGAGCAATACCTTGGAAAGAAGCCCTGTTGCTTAGAGCGGATAACCGAGAGCTAAACTGTTGGGGCTTTGCTGTGAGGGGTGCGGTCTGGCCTCGGATGTGCAGGTTATGGACTGTGCTGGGTTACAGCTTTCTCCAGATCCTATTTTGAGAGATTCCCCACCTGGCGTTGTATTTTACACCTAAATGGAGATAATAGACCTCTGCTATCCGCTTTATTTGCATACAGACTCTTTTTATTTCCTCAGGCTGTTAGTCACTGGGCAATCTTGCAGATTTTAGTTTTTCTTTATAAATGTGGACGACTGTCCTGGTTTGTTTTATGAGACTTATGGCAAAGGGTCAGTCACATCCAGAATATTTGGTTTCTGTCGGTGAAGCAGTTTCCTGTTAAAAATATAGACATAGTCTGTCAGAATGTGAGCATGTTTTTTAAAAGAGCATTCCAAAAATATTTGTAGCAGTTTTTTTTCTTTGTATTTTTATAACACATCTATAAAGAAAACTCTAGAACGAATTTCACAAAACAGCTTTTAAAGGTGACCAAGATATTCCAGGATATTTTAAAAGACATTTAAAAATTATTTCTCTGCAATATCGTCATTGTTATATTCATAGTGTATCATGTAAAATGATACAATGAAATGCTGATGTAACTGGGAAATCCGTGTTCTTGGTAGCAGATGAAATACATTATTCAGGGCCATCTTGTGGATTAAATAAATCCTCTCCGTCTTTTGTGTTCCCTTACAGTGGTGGAGCCACAGTGTTAAAGAACAGAGAAGTGATCCTTAATCATTTAGAATTTTGCCTCCACCATCCACCAGAAAATGAAGTGGAAAGAGAAGTAAATTCAATACATTTTATAATTTAGAGCATCCTTTTCGTGTTTGCTGTAGTACTTACTGTATTTTTCTACAAGTTAGGTAGATGTAAGTTAGGCAAGTAAGTAAATGAATAAAGAGAAGACAGGCTGAAAAGGGCCTTTAATTTCTTGCCTGTAAGACCCAGAAGTGTGTAGACTGGAGCTAGTCTTCCCATTAACATGGGGAAGACAGACTCAGAGGAGAAGGTAGCACAGCCAGTGTTAGAGCTGAGATTAGAATCCAAGTCACTGACTTTGAAAAACAATTACCTCTGTTAGTTTGTTCTGGTCAGTGTTTTTCCTCTATGAGCTTCAGATTCAAACTCGCCTTTATTTTCAAGTAGTATGTTATTATGAGATCCTTCTGTCCTTGTTGTTTTTAACAACATTCAGAAAGACTTGTCTCAACTATTTTAAAATACAAACCTAGAAATGCTGTCCTTAAAAGACAAAAGTTGGATTTCCTCTGTTCCTCTGCGAAATACCCCAGTTGTTTGTATTCAATGCCAAAATGTAGTGTAGACATTTATTTCTGTTATTGTTCCTTGTAGCAGATATGAAGCAGTTAAGACACAGAATGTTTTGGAAAGACAAATTTGTAGTCTTCAGTTACTGACAGATTTTATCTGTAATCCTTTCAATTAGGTTGGGGGATGGTGTCTATGATACCTTCATGGTAATAGATGAAACCAAATGCCCACCCTGTTCAAATGTACTCTGCAATCCTTCTGAACCGCCTCCACCCAGAAGACTAAATGTAAGTAAAAGAAGTGATTCTTTGTACATGAATTGTTTTGAAAAGGAGGAAGTGCTACTTAATGCTCAAGGTACTCTTATGTTTCGCTGACAACCAGACTTTCTTTTTGATTTCTCTTGACTTTGGAATGACAATGTCTGTGGTCCAAATTTAGCTTTTCAGAATGGTTTTGATTTGGAATCCACCCTTTTATTTCCATCTCCACTGGGATAAAGATATAGCACTGGGAAAAAAAATAGTATGCTACTTAAATGTAGGTAATGCTTATTTTTGTACAGGATGATATACACCTGGTATTACAAAGGCTCCTTTTAACAAAAATAAGAAACAGACAACATCTTGGAATTCATAGATCTGCAGGGTTTTTTTCCCCCTGCAAGATGGAAATGCAGTCCTCATTTATTAGTATGCTAAAGAGAACCAAACCATTTCACAGACAGGTCATAAATAAAACAGTTTGGTTTTTGATGCATCATTTTGGGGGCTGCAGACAACTTAGCTTTTTTTTTTTTTCTCTAACTTAAGATAAAATTAATTCACATTCCCTCAGCATGCATAGAGTAGTAGGCAGAGCAGGGTTTGGCCAGCTTCCATGACAAGGAGAGGCTATCCTATGACTTTAAAATTTGCTGCATATGTCATCAGATGAACAAACTGAATAATTGAATTGACTCATTTGTAATATTTCTTCTTCTTCTTCTTTTTTTTTTTTTTTTTGAGATGGAGTCTTGCTCTGTTGCCCAGGTTGGAGTCTCGCTCTGTTGCTCAGGCTGGAGTCTCGCTCTGTCACCCAGGCTGTAGTGCAGAGGCACAATCTCGGCTCACTGCAACCTCCGCCTCCTGGGTTCAAGCAGTTCTTCAGCCTCAGCTTCCTGAGTAGCTGGGATTACAGGCGTGTGCCACCATACCTGCTAATTTTTTTCCCTGTTTTCAACAATTTTTGCCTAAAAATCACCTTATTCCCACCTTCTCCCCCCGCCCCCCCCGCCCCCCGAGATGGAGTCTTACTCTTTCACCCAGGCTGGAGTGCAGTGGCATGGTCTTGGCTTATTGCAATCTCTGTCTCCCAGATTCAAGCAGTTCTCCTGTCTCAACCTCCCAGGTAGCTGGGGCTACAGGCGCCTGCCACCACGCCCAGCTAATTTTTGTATTTTTAGTAGAGACAGGGTTTCACCATATTGGTCAGGCTGGTCTCGAACTCTTGACCTCAGGTGATCCATCTCCCTCGGTCTCCCAGAGCACTGGGATTACAGGCATGAGCCACTGTGTCCGGCTCTTTCCCCACTTTGAACACGAATAATATACAAAGTGTGAGCTAAAAATATTTTAAAGGCTGATAACCCTATTTTTCATCCCCTTTGTGGAGTGCAGTGGAGTTTCTTTCCACTCTTTGATATTTCTTTAATACGTCAAAATGTCTAAGAACTTCAGAACCATATACACCTTATGTCGACCGTCAGATTGCTTGCTTATTTACTGCCAGTTGGCTCACCTCTGTAGGAAACTATTTGCAATTGGGTTGAAGTGTTAGCATCTGACTTTCAGTCATTTTAACTTTGACTCAGAGTTAGCCATTGCTATTTATCTTCCAGTAGGTCACTTATATTGCATGTTTCAGGATCAAAATGAAGGGTGTTCAGAATAACACTTTTGTAGGGGAGCAAGAAGACTTTAGATTCTAACTCAATGATGTCTTTACTCTTTTTTTAAATTTTTTTTTTTTTTTTTTTTTGAGACAGAGTCTTGCTCTCTCGCCCAGGCTCGAGCACAGTGGCACAGTCTTGGCTCACTTCAACCTCCGCCTTTCGGGTTCAAGCAATTCTCCCTGCCCCAGTCTCCTGAGTAGCTGGGATTACAAGCACCTGCCACCATGCCTGCATAATTTTTGTATTTTTAGTAGAGATGGGGTTTTGCCATGTTGGCCAGTCTGGTCTCAAACTCCTGACCTCTGGTGATCCACCTGACTCAGCCTCCCAAAGTGCTGGGTTTATAGGTGTAAGCCACCATGCCAGGCCGTCTTTACTCATTATGCTGGAAAAAAGGGTCTTTTAACCTCTTGGTACCACTTACATTTCATTATGCCATGACTCTATCCCGAGATCTTGTTGCTCTTTTTACAAAGTCTTTTAGCTTTATTTATTCAAAATGGTCTTATGTTCTCATGGTAAACTATAAATCATCTGCCCATATGCTTTTATTAGGTTAAGTTTTGCATTGCAGGGATTTAGGGCTTGGGAGCAGGGATTTAGGGCTTGGGAGCAGGGAAAAAGGTAGGGTTTTATATTTGGATGAGAAGGATGTTCCTTTTGAATTTCTCAACAAGATTTTTAAGACTTGATTAATACAGTAGAAGATTCTATTTGAAATGCCACAAGCCCTTGAAATTTGTAGTGTATATGAAGCATTCTTATGAAATACAATGTGATAAATCTGACAGTATTCATTTCTCTGGATATATTTACAGGGTTAAGTAAATGCTTGGTAGAGTCAATTATATACATTGCTTCGTTATTGTGATTATAATGTGATTATAACTCTAGACTAGAAATATTTCGTGATTTTTTTCAGTAGGTTTTTGGGGATCAGGTGGGTTACATGAATAAGTTCTTTAGTGGTGATTTCTGAGGTTTCGGTGCACCTGTTACCCTAGCAGTGTATACTGGACCCAGTGTGTAGTCTTTCTGTCACTTCCGCCCACAGTATCCCCTTGAGTCCCCAAAGTCCATTGTATCATTCTTATGCCTTTGCATCCTCTTCATTGCTTAGCTCCCACTTGTGAATGAGAACATACCATGTTTAGTTTTCCATTTCTGAGTTACTTCTCTTAGCATAATGGTCTCCAGTTCTGTCCAGGTTGCTGTCAATGCCATTATTTCATTCCTTTTATGGCTAAGTCGTATTCCATGGTATATATATACCGTAATTTATCTACTCCTTGACTGATGGGCATTTGGGGAAATATTTAGTGTTTTGAAACAATTAGACTTTAATATGTGTGAACACTGTAGAGTTTTCTAGAATAATGGAAGGAAGGTTTTATTTATAGCACGTCAGACTTGATATGTAATTGATTCAGACCAGTATTTGGGTTATTTGTAGGAATGGAAAGAAAGTTAAGAAGAGAACCCCTCCCTGTGTAGAAAAGTTATCTCCCATAATTCTCCAGGTTCACTGGAGAGGATGATATTGGTAGTGTACTACACTGAAGTAGCATACTCTGTTCTGGAAGGCACGCTTCGAGAGAGACATAAAGTGCAGCCCATGTTGAGAATGTGAACAGGAGAGTAAGAGGGGCTGACGTGTTTGGTGAGATAAGGAGGATGTAGTGGGGAACCTGCGGAATGGTGGTGGTAGGCACAGCACGGCCCCTTTTAGGTATCCACAGGGCTCCTGCTTGAAATTTGGACACTTCTGTGTAGTTCCGAAAGGCAAAGTCAGACTTATTTTGTGAGGAGAGAAATTTAGGCTTACTTTAAGGAAAACCATGAATCATGGACTCCAATCATGGCATATTTAATATTATTGTAATAGTTTTGTGGAAATTACATTTCTGATACATCTGTTGTTATTAATGTTGTGTACTTGAGACATTCTTATTGTCACAAACAGAAATGATGGGTTCCAGAGCCAGTGCAGCCTTACACATAGGCAGAATAGGGGAAATTCCCAGGGACAGACCCTGCACCACAAGTACCTTTCCTAGCAGCTTGCCACTGTTGACTGCGGTTCCTAGAGAGGCATTCCTTTGGGTTAGGACATTGATGTTCTGTTGAAGTTCAACTATCCATGGAGAGGTAACACAGTAAATTGTATAGCGGGTGGAAAGCATGTTTTATGTGGGGAGAAAGTGGGTGAGGCAATTCCATGTATCCTAAGTGAAGGCCTATTGTGGGTGTCGTCATTAAGCAAAAGGCATAGTTAGTGCTAGATGCTTGATGGAGGGAGATCAGACTAGAGAAATGGAGGAAGCCACCAGAGAGAGAAGAGAGAAAGGGGAAGAGGAAGGGTGTATAGGAATTTAAACTTTAAGGTATTAAGAATTTTGCCAAAATGTAATCAGTGTCTTTTAAGTATTTTATGGTGGCTGAAATCAGAATTATTAATTCGAATTTGATCCACACAACATCCTGCAAGTAGATATTATTATCCATATCTTACAGATAAAGAAACTGAGGCTCAGGAAGGCAGCAGGGATCTACAGCTTTCTTTTCTTTTCTTTTCTTTTTTCTTTTTTTTTGAGATGGAGTCTTGTTCTGTCTCCCAGGATGGAGTGCAGTGCGTAAGCTCGTTCAATGCAACCTCTGCCTCCCGGGTTCAAGTGATTTTCCTTCCTCAGCCTCCCAAGTAGCTGGGATTACAGGCATACGCCACCATGCCTGGCTAATTTTTGTATTTTCAGTAGAGATGGGGTTTCACTATGTTGGCCAATCTGGTCTTAAACTCCTGACCTCAGGTGATCCGCCCACCTTGGCCTCTCAAAGTGTTGGGATTACAGGCATCAGCCACCACACCCAGCTGGACCTACAGCGTTAAGTAGTATAGCCAGGACCCCAACCCAGGCCTTCTGACTTCTTGTTTCTTCAGGATGTGTTTCAAGACTTAGGCAGTAAATATTTAGATGTATTAAAGTTAGTAATGATTTTAGGGAAAACTAGCCAAGATGCATGTAGATGTTTGTTTTTATTATGTAAATCTAATTAAAACCAAAGAATTAAAATATTTTCCTAGTTCCACCAAATTTATTTCCTAATAGATTGCAGGCTGGAGTGCAGTGGTGGCGATCTCAACTCACTGCAACCCCCACCTCATGGGTTCAAGTGATTTTCCCATCTCAGCTTCCTGAGCGGCTGGTACTATAGATGCGTACCACTATTCCTGGCTAATTTTGGTATTTTTATTAGAGATGGGGTTTTGCCATGTTGGCCTTGCTGGTCTTGAACTCCTGATCTCAGGTGATCCACCCACCTCGGCCTTCCAAAGTGCTGGGATTACAGGAGTAAGCTACCACAGCTGGCCAATATGTAGATTCTATATGCAGGCCTGTTTATTTTCTTGACCAGTGGTAATTTTCTTTTTTTTTTTTTTTTTTTATTTTTATTATTTTTTTTTTTTGAGACGGAGTTTCGCTCTTGTTACCCAGGCTGGAGTGCAATGGCGCGATCTCGGCTCACCGCAACCTCCGCCTCCTGGGCTCAGGCAATTCTCCTGCCTCAGCCTCCTGAGTAGCTGGGATTACAGGCACGTGCCACCATGCCCAGCTAATTTTTTGTATCTTTAGTAGAGACGGGGTTTCACCATGTTGACCAGGATGGTCTCGATCTCTCAACCTCATGATCCACCCGCCTCAGCCTCCCAAAGTGCTGGGATTACAGGCTTAAGCCACCGCACCCGGCTGACCAGTGGTAATTTTCTACTTTGGTATCAGAGAGACTGTATCTGGCCCCTTTATTTTAAAACTAAATGCCAGGCTATGGCTGCATTTGAACTGGCTCTTTGACTTTGTTTAAGATCATATAATACATCATGTAACTGTAAGTGTTCTACAAATATCTAAATTGATCAAATGACTTTTAAAAAGGAGCAAGCAGGACTTTTGTAACTGAATTATGGGGGCTGTTTGAGGTGTGCCTACACTTAAATTTTTGTCATTTTTTTTTTTTGAGATAAAGTCTCATTCTGTCACCCAGGCTGGAGTGCAATGGTGCTGTGTCAGCTCACTGCAACCTTCACTTCCAGGGTTCAAGTGATTCTCCTGCGTCAGCCTCCCAAGTAGCTGGGATTACAGGCCTGCACCACCATGCTTGGCTAATGTTTGTGTTTTTAGTAGAGACGGGGTATCATCATGTTGGCCAGGGTGGTTTCAACTCCTGACCTCATGATCCTCCCACCTCAGCCTCCCAAAGTGCTGGGATTACAAGCGTGAGCCAGTGCACCCGGCCTCATTTATGTTTTTTAATATTGTTTCTTGTTATTTATTTTTGATAATTTATAAATACAATTTTTGTTTTGCTTAGGTTATATGAGAATTTCGAGTTTTTGAAGGTTTGGCCATTTTTTAGCTTACATTTTTAGAGATTATAACTGTAGCCCAGAGCTCCTCCAGAATTATCTGTTCCTCATACTGTAGGCTCTCTAAAATTACTAATAGATAAAGGACATTTTTCAGAGTCCGTTCAGAAAAATAGTTGTTCTTTTAAGTATCCTAGACTTCCTTTTATTTTTAACAACAGCTTTAACGTTTTTATTTTTCCAGCCCCTTCTTAATATTTTTCACTTATTTCTTTTTCTTTCTTTTTTTTTGAGACAGTCTGCCACTTTGTTGCCCAGGCTGGAGTGCAGTGGCCTGATCTCGGCTCACTGTAGCCTCCACCTTCCAGGTTCAAGCTATCCTCCTGCCTCAGCCTCCCGAGTAACTGGGATTACAGGCATGCATCACCACATCTGGCTTTTTTTTTTTTTTTTTTTTGGTATTTTTTAGTGGAGATGGGGTTTTGCCATGTTGGCTAGGCTGGTCTCAAACTTCTGGCCTCAAGTGATCCGCCTGCTTTGACCTTCCAAACTGCTGGGATTATAGACATGAGCCACCATAGCTCAGAACCTGGTGTTGAGCTATGTCAATGGGAAGGACCCTGGAATAGGAGCCAGAAGACCTAGGTTCAGATTCTGCTTCTGTCACTTGATAGTACCTTCTTGTTTACACTTCAGTATGCATTATTTTGATCATGCTACATGCCCTTAAGATTTGGGAAGATGCTTGAAGCAATTAGTAAACAGTGTAAGACAGTGGATGTGTTATACATAATCAAGTAGCAAATTATGGGGAACCAGCTGGAGAAGCTGCAGTTAGGATGTGAAGTTAATTAGTACAGTCTCGGAGTAGTTCTAAGTGGAAGAGAGAGGAATTGCATTGGGCTTTGAAGGAATGTAGAAGTTGAGGGGATGAGGGGGTGGAAGCATTCTCAGTACAAGGACACATCTGTAAGAAGGAACCTGGCATGTTGGGGGCGTGGGAAGACCACCTTGTCTTGAACAAAGCAAGGCATATGTGGGGATTAGGGATGGCTGCAATATTCAGGGAGTCTGAAAATTAATATAACACAAGTTGCCAGAGACTCTTGCTTTTCTTATCTCCTTTTTGAGTCATCTTAACTTTAAAATAAACATGACTAGATATGTTTTGTTGTTATTCAATCAGAGGAGGGAGGATTATTCCATCTTTCTAATGTTTTAATGACTTTAACATTGGATTCATTTTCTCTTTCATAGATGACCACTGAGCAGTTTACAAGAGATCGTACTCAGCACTGTTTGGATGGAGGTGAGATGAAGGTAGAACAGCTGTTTCAAGAATTTGGCAACAGAAAATCCGATACTATTCAGTCAGATGCCATCAGTGACTCTGAAAAATGCTCTCCTATAGTTTCTCAGGGTAAAAGTTCAGATAGCTTGAATACAGTAAAACCTAGCAGTTCATCCAAGGCACCCAAAGTGGTACCTCTGACTCCAGAACAAGCCCTGAAGCAATATAAACACCACCTCACTGCCTATGAGAAGCTGGAAATCACTAATTATCCAGAAATTTACTTTGTAGGTCCAAATGCCAAAAAAAGACATGGAGTCATTGGTGGTCCTAATAATGGGGGTTATGACGATGCAGATGGGGCCTATATCCATGTACCTCGAGACCATCTAGCTTATCGATATGAGGTGCTGAAGATTATTGGCAAGGGGAGCTTTGGGCAGGTGGCCCGGGTGTATGATCACAAACTCCGACAGTACGTGGCCCTAAAAATGGTGCGCAGCGAGAAGCGCTTTCATCGCCAAGCAGCTGAGGAGATCCGGATTTTGGAGCATCTTAAAAAACAGGATAAAACTGGTAGTATGAACGTTATCCACATGCTGGAAAGTTTCACATTCCGAAACCATGTTTGCATGGCCTTTGAACTGCTGAGCATGGACCTTTATGAGCTGATTAAAAAAAACAAGTTTCAGGGTTTTAGCGTCCAGTTAGTACGCAAGTTTGCTCAGTCCATCTTGCAGTCCTTGGATGCCCTCCACAAAAATAAGATTATTCACTGTGATCTAAAGCCAGAAAACATTCTCCTGAAACACCACGGGCGCAGTTCAACTAAGGTCATTGACTTTGGGTCCAGCTGTTTCGAGTACCAGAAGCTTTACACGTATATCCAGTCTCGGTTCTACAGAGCTCCAGAAATCATCTTAGGAAGCCGCTACAGCACACCTATTGACATATGGAGTTTTGGCTGCATCCTTGCAGAACTTTTAACAGGACAGCCTCTATTCCCTGGAGAGGATGAAGGAGACCAGTTGGCCTGCATGATGGAGCTTCTAGGGATGCCACCACCAAAACTTCTGGAGCAATCCAAACGTGCCAAGTACTTTATTAACTCCAAGGGTATACCTCGCTACTGCTCCGTGACTACTCAGGCAGATGGGAGGGTAGTGCTTGTGGGGGGTCGCTCACGTAGGGGTAAAAAGCGGGGTCCCCCAGGCAGCAAAGACTGGGGGACAGCACTGAAAGGATGTGATGACTACTTGTTTATAGAGTTTTTGAAAAGGTGTCTTCACTGGGACCCCTCTGCCCGCCTGACCCCAGCTCAAGCATTAAGACACCCTTGGATTAGCAAGTCTGTCCCCAGACCTCTCACCACCATAGACAAGGTGTCAGGGAAACGTGTAGTTCATCGTACAAGTGCTTTCCAGGGATTGGGTTCTAAGCTGCCTCCAGTTGTTGGAATAGCCAATAAACTTAAAGCTAACTTAATGTCAGAAACCAATGGTAGTATACCCCTATGCAGTGTATTGCCAAAACTGATTAGCTAGCGGACAGAGGTATACCCAGAGATGCAAAATGTATGTATTTTTATGATCTTGCAAACCTGCAAATGGAAAAAAATGCAAGCCCATTGGTGGATATGTTTCTGTCGGACTAGATTTTTTTTTTAACAAGACAAAACATTTTTATATGACTATGAAAGAATCCTTCAAGGGCTAATTACCTAACCAGCTTGTATTGGCCATCTGGAATATGCATTAAATGACTTTTTATAGGTCAATGCATCTTGGTTATTATTGTCAGATATATTTCAACTGATAATACTATTGGTTTGAATCTCTTTTCTCTCAGTATAGAAGGTGTATCAAAAAATGTATCCTAACTACTCACTTCTAGTGTGCCCTGGCGTCTGTTCTGGTGGGGTCATCTGGGATGTGGTGGTAGTTGTGAATAAGAGCCAATGCTAGGTCTCTTGCCCCAGTAGGCCATCCTCTAGGGTCATTCTAGGTGAAAGAGCTCACAGCAGAATGTGGGGTGGGGGAGCATCAGGAAGCTGTTGGTGACCTGAACAATTGGTATCACTGTTTTTCAATGACTCATTCCTCTTCCTTTCAATTCTCTGATGTTTGGTGTTATTATTTTGTTATGCTGTTACTATTTTGCCTCTGATTTGTTTCCTAGTCACTCAAGGCATTTTACAGATGTCTTACCCCTTTACCAAATAACCCTGTAAGGTGCTGATTTAAAAACTGAGTCATATGCACTCCTTCTTCTTCCCTCTCCCATGCCCAAGGAAGATCAAACAGCTTCTCTGCCCCAGTTGACCCAGAATGGTAAAGCTAGAGAATCAGCATGAAAGCTGCAGTTCCCCAGCTTTGTGGCACTCTGCGGACCAGCCTCCTTGCTGCATTTTCATAGAGTCTCTTCCTTATAAAAGTAATCACTCTCAGGTAAAGCTTTCTACGGTTTAAAAATGCTTCTTTTACATTTGTCTCCTTTCTTTACAGCTACCTGCTACCTTAATGTGCCACATTTTTTTTTCCCACTTTCACTTTAAGCTTAACGCTATTCCCTAGATCTGAGTGAACTTCAGTTAGAAGAAGAAAACTCTAAAAATCCAGAAGCTGTTGATAATCAAGTTTTCCCCTTTATGTTCCTTAATTTTGTTCTCTTCAACAACTTTTCTTTTTCTCTGCTAAGATTTAAACAGTGAGGGCTGATAATAAAACTAATTGCTAGGCCGAGTGCAGTGGCTCATACCTGTAATCCCAGCTACTCAGGACGCCGAAGCTGGAGAATCGCTTGAACCCAGGAGGCAGAGGTTGCAGTGAGTTGAGATTGTACCACTGCACTCCAGCCTGGGCAACAGAGTGAGACTCCATCTCAAAATAAAATAAAATAAATTTTATTTACTTAGAAGGGTAGAGATGGGACAGAAACCAACTCACTGCTGCTGGTGAGTCCATCAGCTGCTGGTTTTTTTTTTTATTTTTTTCTGTCCCTTTCTCTATTTCTGTCCTTTTCCAGAACAAAAGTATGCTCAAGTTCTATCCTAAATGTGTGCTCTTTGGGAGTCTGAGGTGGGTAGATCCCTTGAGCCCAGGAGTTCGAGACCAGCCTGGGCAACCTGGTAAAACCCTGCCTCTCCAAAAAGTACAAAAATTAGCTGAGTATGGTGGTACATGCCTATAGTCCCAGCTACTTGGGAGGCTGAGGTAGGAGGATTACTTGAGCTGATATCATGGCAGTGCACTCCAGCCTGGGCAACAGAGTGAGATTCTGTCCAAAAAAAAAAATTAAAAAAGTGTGCTCTTTAAAATTTAGAACATTTGCTTTCCACAACGTAGTTTTCAGAATGATCCAGTTCCATTTATTCTAGAATGTAGAGGGCAAACTCGGTGAGATTGGAAAGAGGCTCTTTTTGCTGGGCAATGTTGTAACAAGAAAAGAAAAATACCATGGGTATATTATTAAAGGAACTTTTGCCTTATCCAAAAGTAATCATGATTGCTGTAGCATAGGCTGTCAAAAATGAGAGAGCACAAATCTCACTGATGGTAGCATTATGAATGTCCAGAGTGGCTTCCGTCTCCCAGGTACAGGGCCAGATGGCAGAGAGCTGCTTAAACTGAGCCTTCAGCCTCATTAATAGGAGGAAGTCTTGGTACTTTTGGTGACTAAGTAACTGGATTATTTAAAACCTTAATTATCTCCTTTACTCCTGCTTTACAGAATGCAATTAATATACAACTCCTTTACATCCCTCTAATTCCTACAGAGGTTTCTTCGTTTTAAGTCTTCACCCTATCTCTTGATTCCATTTCTGAAGAAGCTGTGTGAAATTAGTCTGGTCGTTGGTTTTCTTCTCTGGTAGTGCCATGTGATCTCCTCACGTGGTGTACTAAATGCTGCTCATAACCCAGCCTCGTCGTCTTTACTCATCACTGCTTTCTTCAAGGGAGGTCATGAGACTGCCTCGTCTACTACCTCATGATCTGCTAGTCGAGATAGTGATGCTTTGGAAGATTGGAAGTCTCTGAATGAATTGTCCAACTTCTGCTTCCCCTCATTAACCACTTTGCATAGGTGTGGGAACTTTGCAGGTGCTAAATCTCCATGGCCATGAAGACGAAATATCGTGAGAAATGGGAACATCTCTTCACCGTGGATCAGCCTTCTTGCAACTGCTAAGAAATGCTTGATTTCTCTGCCAACTCCAGGAAGTAGTACAGCATGACTGAATCCTTCTTCAGTGAATCCTTTCATCCTAACATAGGGTGTAAAAGCTCATATCTACTCGAAAAGCTCATATCTACTTTTTCAGTAGATAGGAGCTTACACTGGCTTATGAATGCTTTTTCTCTAGGCCCAACAGTGCTATGACCCTCCAGCCTAAACAAAGCATGAGTTATTTTTGTATTGAATCCTTGAACTGCTAGCCAGGTAGGTGTTTCCTTAAAGTCCAGAAGGATTCAAGTCAGATGAAGGAGGTGGCACACCTGACTTAACTGCAGATAAGGGAGCATCGAACCTCTGCAATTTGCTATGTTGGATTTCTGCTTGGGATTCTCACTGAATAGTAAAGTAGGGAAAATGGTGCTTTTACTATTTTGCATTTTGTGTCAACATTAGCAGCCTGTTCCCACTCGGGTGCTGTCCAAGGCACATGTTTCTTTGGGATGTTTGGACAGAATGATCTGGCTTGATGTATTTCCTGGGCTCGGGTACCACATCATAGAGCTGGTTAAGTGTAGCCAGCAGAGTGTCAGGACAGTTGACACTGTCTTCCAAGAGTGAATGTGTTGGCCTTTGGAGCTGCCACCAAAGCCATGTGTGAGGCAGCAAGCACATCTTTATGTGGCAGCAACGCTAGCATCTGATGGACGCGGATCTGCAGTCTCTAACACTGTATTGCTGTTGTCCTGAGTTTTCTAACTTGGAGAAATTTAAGCGTCTCCTGTATTATCTAGGTGGAAAATACGTTGAGGTTGTTTTGCCAGTTGTTATCAGTGTTGAAGAACCACTCTTGTAAGCAAACTGTGTTAAAAGGATTGCCACCCCAAACGCATCTGACGTACACTGGGTGTTGGTGTTTGTGTTTTTAATGAGAGATCTCAGTACTGTGCCTGAACTTGGCAGAGACAGGAGCCTGTGGCTGAGGTTGGTGTGTGCTCTATTTCTGTGTATTGAATGGACTGTAAGGTTACTGACACTGGGCTAAGCCAAAGGGTATAGACAACTCATTACACTGCAGACAGATTTTAGAAAGCTACGGGAAGGCAGATGGCTGTTTCTGCCTAAATTTGGCAACCTAGAGAGTGATGCGGAGCAGAGTCATGGACGTTGGCACGCCTGCCTTCTGCAGGCCAATTCAAGTTTGAGGAGAGTGGGCTGCTTTAAAACATGGTGCTCGTGCAGATGGATTTGAGGGAGTTTATGTGTATAGAGTTTCAAGCTTAGGGACAAGTTGTGGTTTTTAGAGGCAATAACCCTATGCCACCTTTTTGGACACTGTTAAAGTTTCACTTGGATCCCTGCCCAGCCATAGCAATGAGTGACTGAATTGGATCCAAGCTGGAGCAGAAATTCAGACTGTCTCTTCCTCAGTTACTGGATTGTTCTTCAGCCATTTTTGTTCTTCCAGTCATTTCAGTCAAACTGGTTAGGTTGGTTGACTTCCTGATTTCTGAATTGACAAAATCGAATTTCCAAATTGCTTCTGACATGGCGAGAGTTGGGTTAGAATTTTTATTTCATTCTCCAAGTCGCTTTTTTTTTTCTTTTTCTTTTTGAGACAGAGCCCGACTCTGTCATGCAGGCTGGAGTGGAGTTGTGCAGTGTTGGCTCACTGCAGCCTCAACCTCCCAGTCTCAGGTGATTCTCCTGTGTCAACCTCCAAAGTAACTGGGACTACAGACACACAGTACCATGCTTGGCTAACTTTTTTGTATTTCTGTGGAAAAGGTGTTTCACCATGTTGCTCAGGCTGGTCTTGAACTCCTGGGCTCAAATGATCCACGTGCTTTAGCCTCTCAAATTGCTGGGATTATAGGCATGAGCCACCATGCCCAGCCTCATTTTTTCTTTTGGTATGGAAAATTGGCTAATCCAGCTAATACCTGCTCATCCTCTTGCATTCTATCCTACCTCTACCCTCAGAGTGATTGATGTACTCTTTCATCATGTACTATATGGCTTCTCCTTAGATTAAAAAGTAAGCTTCAAATGGGCAGGCCGAGGTCTTCATAATGCTCTGAAGGAACAGATTTTGATGCCCGCTGATCATGTTTAGGTGATGAAAGCTCATTTCCTTTCATGAACCAGGAGCATGCTCACCTCTTCTTTTAAGTTGACCCACGCAATCACTGATGTCTTCTTTTTGGGAGAGGGTAATCAGATAAGGATCATGTGAGGACATTTTCTTCTGGTCCAGTGTTAGACACAGTTACCTTGATAATAATGAAAAGGAAAGTGAATACTACCAAAACCTAACTATGATATAAGGATTTTGCTTCTGCCCCATAGGGGCTCTGAAAGAGTCTAGGCTTCCCAGAGGAAGTTTGGCTTATGACCATATTAGTATGCTTTGTTCCTAGGTGTTTAAGGGAGTTGGGGCAGACAGATTAGTTGGCTAATGTCATTACATTTTAGTTTTTGTGACATTTAATCTGTTAAGAAGGGGGCTTAATACACAATCAAAAAAAGAACAATAAAAAAATAAAAATTTCTACTGTGAAACTATTGCGATCTGCAGCAGCTGGTCATGTTAGAACACTTTCTGTTT